TGAACCTTCACACTCTGCTCTTACTGGTGCAATGTGCAGTTAATGAAGACTGACCACCAGGCTGGTCCAGTTTAACCATGAAACCTCCCACACTAACATGACAGCTGTTTCACTTTCATTGTCTAACCCCTGTACATTTCATTTTTATCAGTGAAATATTTCTCCTTAATTTCAGGGACTGAAAATGACCCAGTACTCAGTACTTCCTAATACAATGCCTCAAGAGACAGGGATGTGAATCTTATCCTGAGCCACAAAACACATGTGAACCAGAAAGTCCAAATTGGACCCATCACACGTTAGAGGCACACAAGTGGAGCAGTGGCAGTTATGAAAGCACTCGGGTAGTTTAGAAGGTGTCTTGCTCAAAGGCACAGCAACATGTGGACTTGGAAGGAAATCAAACCTTTGACTTTCTGGTCCCAAGACAATTGTCCTCCTACTACACTACAATCTGTTGTTGTTGTTGTTGTTGTCATTGTCGTTGTTGTTGTCAAATGAAAATAAAATACATGATATAAATAATTTTAATTGATTTAAATTGCTTATTGAGTAACTCTGACACCAACACTAACAATTAGTTTTATTTATTTATTTATTTAATCAATCTTTAGTCTCATTAAGACAGAAGGACTAATTTTCTAGAGAAACTAGTTTTAGACTGAAAATTATGATATACAGGGTTAAACATTAGAATATTTTTCTTGATTAAAACCTGGTTGTTTGCCAATATTTTTGGTTGTCTGTAACRTTTACAATAAAATGGAACCAAATCTCAAGAAAAATGCACTTGAATAAGTAAATGAGACTAAATCTAAATGTTCTCAGTCAGCCGTCTGAAAAGGAAGTATGAATGCAACTCTCCTCATGCTCTGCCTCGCCCTCAGACTTCACACGGTGCGTTTAAGGCTCAGAGATTAAAGCAGAAAAATATTTTGACTGAAGCTTTTCCACAACTAGAGGTTACCCAAGCATCCCCTTCACCACCAAATCCCACATGATGAGTTTTTCCTGCATACTTGTCAATGTTTTTCACAGAAAGAGGTGTGTAACTTGTATRTAACCTTAGTAAAAGTACACAGTTTAGTGTTCTCTATTAAAGTGCTGAAGTTGTAAGAAGACTTTAGCCTCAAGACTGATGACATTCTGAAGGAAGAGAGATTTTAGGCAACTTTTCTCTCATTTATTTGTTATTTCACTCTTTTCAACTGAGGAGTTGTCTGATATATTTTGAAATCAAATTTAGAGCACAGGAGGTCATTTGCACAATGTGATTTATTTTTATAAATATTTTTTTACCAGATTAACAGATTTTTCAGGATTTCAGCTCAATTACTGTAGTCATTTAATACAGTAAATTATTAAATGTCTAACCCTAAACCTAASCTCACAGCAAGAAGGTTCTGGGTTCAATTCCCAGTCTGGACCTGGGGTCYTTCTGTGTGGAGTTTGCATGTTGTTCTCATTCATACGTGGTCATTTTAACCTTGTTAACCTGAAAAGACACTGTCTTCACAGACATTTTGACTTTATTCCAGATCTGACTTTAGTGTATTTAACATTATCCACATGAAGTCTTTCTTCAAGGAATCTAACAGGAACATGATTAGCATTTCAACTTTATGATGTTTCTGTTTTCTTCATATCAGTGCAGGTTGTCTCCAAAAGATGATGTTTTATTTGTGTAATATCCTGTCTTACCTCCCTCAGATTCTCGTCCCCAGCCTGCAATGAAACACTTTCTTCCTTCTGTGAAACTCTGACCTTCAGCAGGTAAACACACTGGCTGTACCCACTCTGAAACACACACACAAGAACTACTCTGAGGCACACAACACACACAATAACCTTTCTGAGATCATTTAGGATCTGAGGGACTGACGGGTGAAGTTAACTGGCTGCTGCAGATGCATCAGTGCGATGTCTGCCTGTTTGGTTCTTCTGTTGTACTGTCTGTTGATGATGATGCGATCAACTTGTCGGGTCTGAACACCTACAGAGTTCATGTCACTCTGGGCATGAAGTCCAAGAATGGTGGACCAGGACTCCAGSTGAATGTTCTTCCTGTGAAGACAGAAGTGTAAAAATACCTTTTTTCTATGATTGGACAAAGAGAACGAGAATGGAAATGTTGTTATAATCTGAAAGGATTTGAAATGTTTGTAAAACCTAAAATTCAATTAAACTTGAAGGACAGATGTACTTCAGTTCAAGGAATAAGATGGTGGAAAAACTTGGCCAATGATTATAAAAATGCTGATTCAATTAATTTATTTAGTAGAATGATAAAGTTAATTTGCTGAAGAGATATGAAACTATAAAATATGTATTTATACAAGGTGATGTTTGAGTGGTTGAAGTTTTTTGTCTTCCTTTCATTTTATGAGATTTGTTTTTTGTTGTATTGAAATATGTTTTATTCTTAACTAAAACAAATAAACTATTAAACTAAACAAAATAACAACCAATAAATACTCTGAAGAACAGCTGCAGCGCCACCTGGAGGCTCCTCAACAGTTCAGCATGTCAGTCAGGTGTTTGGTGTTAGATGTAGGGCTAACCCTAACAAGAACTCTTCCCCAGAGGAACTTTGAGACAGAACACAAACAAACAGAAACAATGTCTCTGATCCATTCTCTCTTCTTAGCCAACATTAATAAAAAGGATTTCAGTTCATGTCATCATGTTCTTCTACAATTGTAATACTAGTATCAACAGTTCATATGCAATTAAAATGTTAGATTAGTCAGGTTAGTTAGTGTTAGGTTAGGATTAGTGTTTGATAACCAACCTAAAATACTGTCGGGTTAATTTGCTGTCATAATCTCCCTCCAGGTGTTGGAGGTTTTACATGGACAGGTTTAACTTCAGGATCACCTTCTAACTTCGTAGAAATTATTTGTTTTCTTGAATGAAGGTTTTTCTCACCCATAGACACAGTGTGCAGCTGTCAGCAGCCATTCTTCACCAATCAGTGATGCTCCACAAGCATGGCGCCCCCTCCAATGTAGAGACACCATCCAAGGCCACGCCCCTTTCATGGCATTAACCCCGCCCACCACTCTGCCTTCAACTAACAGAAACAAACCACAATGAGACTGAAATAAATGGGATTATGAAGCTCTCAGAGATTTCCTGCATAACTCATGTTCTCACCGTCAATAGCTTTCCTGTCTTCTGATTGGTCCAAACGATTGGTTATGTTACTGACCAGACGCATTCCACATGCTAAAAAGACAAAGTTTCATTAAAACCCTAAATTATTAACAACATTTGGATCAACTTGAGAAAAAAAGATTTACTGACGTTTGTTGCTGCAGTTCAGCGAAATCACTTTTTCATGTCTGCAGGTTTCACTGGGAAAAAAATATCTACATTTATCATCCAGCAACTTGTATATTTGCTCACTAAATACTTAATGATTTAAGTCCTACAGGAATGATGAGCTCCTGTGTTACAACCTCAAATCAGAAAAAGTGCAGTTTAAAAAAAATTACAAAAAACCCACTGAATGCCAAGATGTTTCATGTTTTAGGCTACAACAAGTAAAAACAAAATGGAAAGTTTAATTTAGCATAATATTTTACCCCATTTTAATAAATGGTTTACTTCCACAGTCAGAGTGTCAGAATGTGTTGCAGTTAGTTACCTGACACTGGTTTCAACTGTTCCATTACTTGTGAGCCTGATGTTTGCAAAGAGCAAATCTTGAGGCAAGACTGGCACCAGCGATGCCTCTCCAGACCTGTTGGGAGTGAAAAATCCCATCTGACATCAGAAATCGTTACTTGTTCTGATTATACTGGAAGCTTGAATCAGTCTATAAACTTCTCTCTGGAAGGGATATACAGCAGGTAAAATTAGTATTGAACACGTCACCATTTTTCTCAGTAAATATATTACTAGAGGTGCTAATG